CCCGAAAGGCGAGCAAGAGAGGATTCAAGGACATCACCCAGTGGGAAAGGCCTCCACTCAGGTGGGATGAAGATGAGGAAGAGCGTCCCCGGCAGAGACCACGCCTGGGCACAGAGCTTGAACCAAAGGCAGAAGAGGAAAGGGGTGAAGAATATACTCCATCCAGTGGACCCATTGAAGAAGAACCATCAGAAGAGCCAGCGCTGATCGAGCAGGCAATCGAATCCACCAGACGATGTGAGCAGCTGGACGGAACCTTGAGGCAGAGGCCACCAACAGAGTTGTATGGTCCAACCAGGCGACACGTGAAGGAAAGGTGGAAGCCGTACCAAGGTGGTGCAGCAATGACATCCCAAGAAGAGCTGGAGGAGGACGATGAGGAGCACAGAGATGAGGACCTATGGATCTACGACCAAGACAGAAATTGCATCATCCGGAAGCACAATCAAGAGAGAGGAGTGCACTTCACTCCAAGTTCCAACAGGGGATGTCCAGTGTCCCTGAAGTATCTCACCTCGCAAAGGAGGACAGTGAAGTGCTTCGGAGATGGAAGTCAGCGAGAGGAGAAGGAGAACTGGAGAGACACTTCAAAGGTTCAAGAACGAAGGAAATCTCAAGGTCCTAGCAGATGGTGGGTCGGCTACACCGAATTCACCCTGAGACGGCTGCCCCCAGAGTCCGAGCTATCACTGATGGTGAAAAGAGGCTCCGATGAAGTGAAGGAGGAGGACATCCCAGATGAAGAATGGGAACAATGGCATGTTGCCGACGGAGCCGAATGGAGCAAAGTTGCTGCAACTGGAGCCGTAAAGGCGTTGCCTCCAGAAGAGTCAAGAGATGTGATGAACCAGCTCAGTGAGGCAGGGCTCAGTGCAAGGATACTGCCATCAAGAATGGTGAGGAGGTGGAAGCCATCGGAACAGCCAGGAGTACCTCCAACTCGAAAGTCCAGGTGGTGCGTGAGAGGAGATCATGATCCTGACCTCCTTCAATTGGATCGTCATGCTCCCACAGTGACGACAGCCACCCTATCAGTGGTGCTGCAAATCGCGGCCAGTCTGCGATGGAAGGCCGCCGTGGGTGATTTGAAGAACGCCTTCATGCAGTCAGACAAGCTGGTGAGGCCGGCAGGAAGGTTGTTTTGCCGACAACCCAGAGGAGGACTCCCAGGTTTGGGCAAGGAGCAGCTCATTGAGATTCTTGCCGGTGCCTATGGACTGGGGGACGCGCCAGCTCACTGGAGAAGGAGTTTGAAGAAGGCACTGTTTCAGTGCGGATTCCAGCAGTCAAGCATGGACCCCTGCGTGTTCAAGAGCTTCGCCAATGGAAGGCTGAGGGGTCTCCTGGTGGTGGAAGTGGATGATTTGTTTGGTGCTGGCGATGAGCATTTCTTTTCACAGATGGACCTGTTGAGGCAGCGCTTTGATTTCGGCAAGTTTGTGCAGGTGGACAAGGAGGCCGATGGAGTTGGCTTCAATGGCAGACGCATCAAGCATCAGCAAGGCACGTTTCTAGTAGACATGGAGAAATTCGTGTCCGAGCGCCTTCAACCAGTCAAGCTAGAGGTGGGAAGGGCCACGAGGTCCAAAGAGGACGCCACTCCAGAGGAGAAAGAAGCAGTCCGAGCCGCCGTTGGCAGCCTGACATGGGCAGCAAAAGAAGGGCGTCCAGACGCGGCAGCTGCCGCCAGTTTGATTGCATCCAGCATGAGCGAGTTGAGGGTGCAAGACATCTTGGACTTGAACAAGGCCATCAACCAAGTGAAGGACAACTCTAAGCTGGCTTTGAAGATTCAAGAAATTCCTCTTGCTGAGCTCAGCTGGGGAGTGGTGACCGATGCCAGCTATGCGAATGTCAGCAAAGGGAAGTCGCAAGGAGCATATGCAGTGCTCGCGATGGAGAAGAAGATCCAAGAGACTGGGTCAGGCCGTTGCAACATCCTGCACTGGCGAAGTGGAAAGATCCACCGAGTAGTGAACTCGACATTGGCAGCAGAAACCCAAGCACTCTCCCGAGGGCTCTCCGAGCTCTCTTGGACAGTCACGGTGTTCAATGAGTTCACCCATGAGGCCTTCGACGTGAAGCGATGGGAAGAGTCTCTTCGTCGTCAGCGACTGAGCGCCTTAGTTTCTGAGAGCAGTGAGCCGCAGCTTGCACATAATCTTAGCATAGTAGATGCCAAGTCCCTGTTTGATCACTTGTCACGTGAAACGGTTGGAACAACCAATGACAAGCGGACAGCCCTAGAGATGCAGATTATTCGCCAGGTGTTGGCAGAAACCAACACAAGCATCAAGTGGGTGCCACATCCACGAATGATCGTGGACAGTTTAACCAAAAGGCATGGAAACCTGGCCCCACTACTTCAGCTTTTGCGCACTGGCGTGCTGGAGTTGAAAGAGCCAACTGACACCAAGAAGAAAGACATGGGAACTGTGGAAGGTAAGCACTTTGGTGTCAGTTGTCTTGAGCGTGTGCATAGCATGTTTTAGGTGTTGTGCAGTGTGGTTCGACCGAAGCCCATCCGAGCATCAGACCGCTCGAGGGGCGCATGCGTGTGGAAAAGCACGCGAGGGTTGCGGTCTTCCGTTGCCACTGTGTGGAATACACAGTGGTAGCGGAGCCGCGGAATGAGCGGCAGCGCTGAAGCTCCTGGAACGGAAGAGTCGTTCCAGCCATGGCGAGACAAGGATCCCCCCCCGGGATTCGATGGTGACGTGGAGAAGTTCAAGGGTTACTTGAGGGAATTGAAGATGTGGCGGCACGAAACTGATGTTCCCCCGAAGAAGCATGCTGTTAAGATGCTAAGGGCTCTCACTGGACCAGCGAAGGCAGTTTGCAATGAGCTGGAGGTTGAAGCTTTGCTCACCGAGGCTGGTGCTGACGCCATAGTCGCCAAACTGAAAGAGTACTACCAGCCGCACCTTGAAACTGCTATGCCCCGCGCATTCGAGCGCGCAGTTTATGGTGAGGCCAGGCGGAACAAGGAAAGCTTTGGTGAGTTCATTGTTCGTCAGGACGCCTTGTTTAGGGAGCTTCGAGAAGAGGGAGTGACCTTGGATGACACTGTGCGTGGGTACATCATGTTCAGACAGGCCAACTTGTCCCAGACCCAAGAGGACCAGATCACCACCTGGACTCAAGGCAAGTTTGATAGGCCTGCCATCATGGCAGCACTCCGGAAGCTCGAGAAGGTGCAGCGAGAGCGAAGCGGCGGCAAGCACTTTCTCACCGCTGAAGAGGAGCCGACCGAAGTCCCTGAGTCCGATGATGATGGTGAATACATCTATCTTGGGGAGGCTGACCTGGATCAGGTGTTTGAAGAAGAAGAGCTGACAGAGGCCTTGGCGACCTACCAACAGGTCAGACAGGCGATTCGTGAACAACGTAATGGCCGGGGCTATTACCAACCGAAGGGACTTGGCAAACAGCCGGGTGGTCGCTTTGGAAAAGGCTCCAAATCCAGTCAGACCTCCATCAAGTTCGGCGGCAAGGGCACAAAGGTCCACATCGACGTCCTGAAGTTGCGCACGAGGTGCGCTCGGTGTGGCCAGATCGGTCACTGGGCAAAGGAGTGCACCAATGAGCCAGATGCAAGAGGGAAAAGCAGAGCGCCATCGGAGGGAACCAGTCCGAAGTCAGGGTTCTTTGAGACTGGCATGATCGATGGGGAAAGCAGCAACAACACCTTTCAGGTCACCCTTGGACAGTGTTTGGCCAGAGCACGAGAGGAGCGGTTGAGATCGGCAGCCCCTTTTTCAGGCATCACCACTAGTGGGTCGTTGGGCATCATAGACACGGCAGCACAAGGTGGTCTCATCGGTCGTCCAGCACTTCGTCATTTAGAAGAATCGTTGAAGGGGCATGGACTCCAAGTGGTTTGGAACGGGAAGCAGGCTCAGGCAAAAGGCATTGGAGGGGACGCCAAGGTGTGTGGGGTCGTCGAGATTCCGGTCGGCATTGGCGGTGTCAACACCCTGATTGAGGCCACAGTGGTGGAGGATGAAGTCCCCTTTCTCCTGTCGATCCAGTTCCTCAAGCAGGTCGGGGCCATTGTCAATTTGCAAGAGAGTTCATTAGCACTCACGGCATTCGACAAGAGCAGTCGCATTCACCATATGCCTTCGGGTCACGTTGCAGTGCAAGTTTTGGATTTTCATGAGCAGGGCTGGCAACTTCCTGATTTGGCAGTTGAACGAAGTCGGAAAGATAAGTCGTTTCGTTTTCTGTCAGCCATCTCCACTCAGAACGTGACGTTCATGTGGGGAGGGTGCAACCACGTCGCAAGCTCTGGCGATGGACCTGATCGCTCGCATCCGCCGGCTGGATCAAGAAAAGGTCGAAGAATGGGAGAAGGTCTCCATGACAGACCCCAGACGGAGCGAGAGAGCCGTCCGCAACTGGCGGGTGATGGTGGAGCATGTGGCCGACCTGATGGAGTTCGTAAAGGCTCGGGAAAAGCTGGTCGCTTGGCAGCCCGTTGGATTGGTGCATGGCTTGCCACCGTGTTCCTCGTTTACCCAGCTGGCATCGGGCTCAGAACCCTTCTCATGCCTGGACGGAGCTACCCCATCGCAGATCACCAAGGCAAGCATCTATGCAGAGTTGATTCAACTGGGCGAGTTCCTGGGTCAGAGGAAGTGCAAGGAGGCTCCAAGTTGCCACTTCAAGGCATGCAGTCACCCACTGGCGGCATTGGCAGGAGCGGGCAATCAAGTGCAGCGAGAGGTGTGGCGCCGGAAGTGTCATGCCAGGTGGGCTGTGGACTCCCGCGTGATGGAGGAGATCGCCGGGAAGAAGAAGGCGATCCATGTCAACGGCAAGATCTTCCACCTGGGCAGCAGCAAGAATGCGATGGACAAGAAGGAGACACCGCCGGGCACTCCGGTCAAGACCCCATCAGCGAAGAGAGCCATCAAGTGGCCTACCACTCCGGGATCCCCGTTGACTCCACCTCGGAATGCCGAACAGCTCTCAACGCCAAAGACGGCCATCTTGGAGTGTCACTGCCATGCTCCGGCAGTCCAGCTGATCGTGAAGAAGGAAGGACCGACGCAGGGTCGGCTTTTCTGGAAGTGCGCACAGAGGGTGTGCAACTTTTTCGAGTGGGATCCTCAAGAAGTTCAGGAGATTCAGAGGAGGATGCTCCAAGAACGCGAAGATGCCGAGATGAGGAAGTGGGAAGAGCAGGAGGAGGCCGATCGCCAGGAGTTGGTCCGCAAGACGATGGAGATGGCGGAGATCAGGCATCAGGAAGTCATGGATGCGACCCGGAGTCAACACAGCTTGGAGGTGGAGACACTCAAGAACCAGCTGCTATGGATGTCCGCAGTGGCGGGCGAAGCTCGAATGGAGGAGGTGTTCAAGAGTCCGGTGCTGCAACAGGAGATGATGAACAAGGCCATGGCCATGAAGGAGGAGCTGACCAGTCAGGAGCTTCAGGCCCAAGAGGCGATGCAGATCCAGGGCTACAACAGTGGCAGCGGCTCAACTCCCTTCCTGCCACAATGACCAGGCAGGAGATGGAGCATGCTTTGAGAGAAGACGCCCCTCGGGTGGTCCAACTGCGTGATGAGAACTGTTGGAGACTATGGTGCAAGAAGCAGTTGGAGGAGGGTGCGAATGACCAATATGAGCGGCAGGTAGCCGACGGTTTTTGGATGAAGGAGGAGGACGACACATGGAAGTTTCACTCAGGCATTTTGCCGGAATTCAAAGAGGGCCAGGTCGCAGTTGTGGCCTTCGAGGAAGTGTACTTCAGAGACCAAGACCACCAACCTGAGGAGGAAAGGCCCTTGTCAAGAGCAAGCAGGAGGGCCGTCAACAAGCACATGAAACAGGTGGTCGTCTCAGAGGTGTTTTCACCCCCCAGAGTCAGCCAGCTGGCTGAACAGAGGGGACAGTTGGATGGAGGAGCCTTTGATCTCGTCACCGGCTACGATCTCTCGACACAAGCCGACCGCCGACGATGCTGGAGGAAATTGAAGGAAGCAGATCCAGACATCATCATAGTGAGTCCTCCCTGCAGTGCCTTTTCAATCCTGCAGAGTCTGAACCATCGACACCATGGCATTGAGGCCGAACTACGACTTGCCGAAGGACGAGGACATCTTCAGTTTGCAATGGAGGTATTCCGTTGGCAGACTTTGAGAAAGAAGTTGGCCATCTTCGAACATCCGGCCACCTCTAGAGCATGGCAGGAAAAGTGTGTCCAAGAAGCGATGGAGATTCCAGGAGTTCGTCGAGTTCGTGCAGACCAATGCCAGTATGGCCTTGCGGTGAGAGGAGAAGCTCCCAACAAGAAGCCGACAGACTTCCTCACCAATGGAGAGAACACGGCCGTGGCATTGAGTCGCCGGTGTCAGGGAGGACATATGCATATGCCATTGATTGGAGGCATTGCTCGGTTTGCCCAGAAGTACCCCAAGGGACTATGCTCTGCAATGTTGAACGGAGGAATCAAAGACATCTTGCAGAAGAAAATTTATGTCTGGGCTACGGGCAATGAGGAAGAGAGCAAGACGGCGGAGGAGGACATCGAAGAGCTTTTGAGGCAAAGTGAAGAACGAGAAGGACGGGCCGATGATGTCAGGCCGCATCAGATGCGAAGAGCCTTGGCTGAGGAGGACAGCCTTGAGAAAAGAGAGGCAGAAGAGCCAGACCATGTTCAAGGAAGCCTGACCTCAGAAGACCGAAGGTTAGTCCAAAAGCTGCACGTGAACCTGGGTCATCCCAACAACTATGAGCTCAGTAAAGCACTTCGGCTGGCAAGAGCACGCAATGCTGTCTGGAGGTATGTGAAAGATGACTTCAGGTGTGACATTTGTGAGAGGAACCGGAAGCCCAAGAGCGCTAGACCGGCTATGCTCCCACGCACTTTTGAACCATGCCGTACGGTGGGTCTAGACGTGGTATACTTCCCAGCCTTGGACGTGCGACAAGTGAGACCAGTGTTGAACATGCTTGACTGGGCCACCGGATACCAGATGCTGGAACCTTTGGAGAACACTCAATCGAGTCACATCTGGGAGAAGTTCTATGGCACGTGGGTGCGCACATTTAGCGTGCCTGAAGTGGTGGTCACGGATCAGGGCCGTGAATTCGGGAAGGAGCTGGCTGAGAAAGTGTCCGAAGCCGGAGCAATTCACAAGGTGATTGGAGCTAGGGCTCCATGGCAGCAAGGAAGAACTGAACGACATGGAGGACTGGCAAAAGAAGTGTTCATCAAGTTGAGGGAAACAATACTTCCCACGAACGACAGTGAATGGAGGATGTGTGTGCACTCAGTGGAGGCAGCCAAGAATCGTCTTTTCAATCGATCAGGCTTCAGTCCGGCGCAGAGGCAGTTCGGCCATAACATGAGGCTTCCTGGTTCACTGGGCTCTGATGATGTGTATGCTCCTGAGCTGCTGATTCAGTCCACCTCGGACGACATGAGGAGAACTATGGAGATCCGCAACAGTGCTATGCAGGAGTACCTGAAGCATGTCACCTCCAGAGCGGTGGCAAGAGCACGACTGGCTCGCGGACGAGGCACTCAGGAGTTCAAGATTGGAGACGTGATCTACGTGTTTAGAGTGCCTTTGCAGCGAAAGAGAACGAAGAGCGAGGTCGACTTCGAGGACAAGGAAGGACGCAGAGCAACCTGGGTAGGACCAGGAGTGGTGGTGATGGTGGAGGGAGCAAACGCCTGGCTTTCAATTCGTGGGGAGCTCTGGAAGTGCGCTCTTGAACAACTCAGGCATGCTACTCCAGAAGAGAAAGAGGCCAGGTCCTTGCTTGAGGAAGACTTCGAAGACCTGAGGGTGGAAATGGCCCGAAAGGCGAGCAAGAGAGGATTCAAGGACATCACCCAGTGGGAAAGGCCTCCACTCAGGTGGGATGAAGATGAGGAAGAGCGTCCCCGGCAGAGACCACGCCTGGGCACAGAGCTTGAACCAAAGGCAGAAGAGGAAAGGGGTGAAGAATATACTCCATCCAGTGGACCCATTGAAGAAGAACCATCAGAAGAGCCAGCGCTGATCGAGCAGGCAATCGAATCCACCAGACGATGTGAGCAGCTGGACGGAACCTTGAGGCAGAGGCCACCAACAGAGTTGTATGGTCCAACCAGGCGACACGTGAAGGAAAGGTGGAAGCCGTACCAAGGTGGTGCAGCAATGACATCCCAAGAAGAGCTGGAGGAGGACGATGAGGAGCACAGAGATGAGGACCTATGGATCTACGACCAAGACAGAAATTGCATCATCCGGAAGCACAATCAAGAGAGAGGAGTGCACTTCACTCCAAGTTCCAACAGGGGATGTCCAGTGTCCCTGAAGTATCTCACCTCGCAAAGGAGGACAGTGAAGTGCTTCGGAGATGGAAGTCAGCGAGAGGAGAAGGAGAACTGGAGAGACACTTCAAAGGTTCAAGAACGAAGGAAATCTCAAGGTCCTAGCAGATGGTGGGTCGGCTACACCGAATTCACCCTGAGACGGCTGCCCCCAGAGTCCGAGCTATCACTGATGGTGAAAAGAGGCTCCGATGAAGTGAAGGAGGAGGACATCCCAGATGAAGAATGGGAACAATGGCATGTTGCCGACGGAGCCGAATGGAGCAAAGTTGCTGCAACTGGAGCCGTAAAGGCGTTGCCTCCAGAAGAGTCAAGAGATGTGATGAACCAGCTCAGTGAGGCAGGGCTCAGTGCAAGGATACTGCCATCAAGAATGGTGAGGAGGTGGAAGCCATCGGAACAGCCAGGAGTACCTCCAACTCGAAAGTCCAGGTGGTGCGTGAGAGGAGATCATGATCCTGACCTCCTTCAATTGGATCGTCATGCTCCCACAGTGACGACAGCCACCCTATCAGTGGTGCTGCAAATCGCGGCCAGTCTGCGATGGAAGGCCGCCGTGGGTGATTTGAAGAACGCCTTCATGCAGTCAGACAAGCTGGTGAGGCCGGCAGGAAGGTTGTTTTGCCGACAACCCAGAGGAGGACTCCCAGGTTTGGGCAAGGAGCAGCTCATTGAGATTCTTGCCGGTGCCTATGGACTGGGGGACGCGCCAGCTCACTGGAGAAGGAGTTTGAAGAAGGCACTGTTTCAGTGCGGATTCCAGCAGTCAAGCATGGACCCCTGCGTGTTCAAGAGCTTCGCCAATGGAAGGCTGAGGGGTCTCCTGGTGGTGGAAGTGGATGATTTGTTTGGTGCTGGCGATGAGCATTTCTTTTCACAGATGGACCTGTTGAGGCAGCGCTTTGATTTCGGCAAGTTTGTGCAGGTGGACAAGGAGGCCGATGGAGTTGGCTTCAATGGCAGACGCATCAAGCATCAGCAAGGCACGTTTCTAGTAGACATGGAGAAATTCGTGTCCGAGCGCCTTCAACCAGTCAAGCTAGAGGTGGGAAGGGCCACGAGGTCCAAAGAGGACGCCACTCCAGAGGAGAAAGAAGCAGTCCGAGCCGCCGTTGGCAGCCTGACATGGGCAGCAAAAGAAGGGCGTCCAGACGCGGCAGCTGCCGCCAGTTTGATTGCATCCAGCATGAGCGAGTTGAGGGTGCAAGACATCTTGGACTTGAACAAGGCCATCAACC